ATGATAAAAAATATTTGAAATACTTTAGCATATTATTAGGTCCATATAATATACAAAGTAATTAGAGCACAAGTTCAAAGTTAGTATATAATGAGACATAACCTCAGGATTTTTGGGTTGTTTTCTTAACAATCTAAGTGATGGCATGTTTTTATTCTCTGAACTATTTTTTTTCAAGTGCGATACAGTCTTTTCTTGCCTGAAGCTGCAGGGCATAACAGCCAGGACCTGTGGCTCCTCCCCTCTCCAACTTGACTTTGGACTTTAGTTTGTGTCTTGGGACTTTGAAATAAATTCGTGCCCCTCCCTTCCCCATCCAGATACCAGTTCAAGTAAAGGGCCTATCCTGGGACTGCAGGGACTAATGGCCAGACCTGTGGCTCATCGCTTCTCCCACTTACCTTTGAACTTTCAGGACTTTGATGTTTTGGATAACACGTGGCACATGCCCAGCTGTGATCTTTTCTTTGCTCCTGAGTGGAAGCTCAGCAGATCAATTTCAGGTACACCTAAACTTTAGAAACTGGGAGGACTTTGGGTCACCCAGGACCAGTGACAACAGTGCAGAGTGCTGATGAGCAACGGCAAGGAAGAACAGAAGAGAGATTGCCAATTTTCTACTCCTGCATACCTTTGAACGCTCAGAGCCACCTTGAATAATTTAAGCAGAAACATATAAATCACCAGACAACTAGTCACAGTTACAGAGGCACAAAAAATATGAGCAACCAACAAAATGTCTCTCCCCCAGGAGAAAACATCAGTTCCACATCACCCACAGACAACATGATGGAAGTCATGGAAATGCCGGATAAGCAATTCAGAATATTAGAAGTGAGCAAACTAAATGAGATGCAAGAGAAGAGAGACAACGAGCTCCGGGAGATGAGGAGGTCTTTTCACTATTTGAAAAAAATACACATCATCAAAAAGAAACAAACAGAATTGTTAGAGGTGAAGAGTGTGATGAAAGAACTTAAAACCTTCCTCGAAAGTATTAAAAGTATATTAGATCATGCAGAAGATCGATCTCAAATGTGGAAGATGAAACCTCAGACCTAGAAAACCATATCAAAAAGATTGGGAAAATAACCAGAAAAATGAGGATAATGTATAAGGAACACTAGATACCATCAAGCACCTCAACATCCAGATAATTGGTATCCCTGAAGAGGAAGAAAATAATAAGGGAGTGGAGGCATTGTTTTATTTTATAAAATCTGGGAGAAAACTTTCCAAACCTAGAGAGGCATTCAATTATCCAGACCAAAGAAATTAATAGGACTCCAAATAGAATCAACCCAGAAAGATCCTCTCTAAGGCACAACATAGCCAGATTGGCCAAAAACACAGACAAAGAAAAGATACTAATATTGGCACAAGGGAAATTTCAAGTTACTTACAAAGGTTATCCCATCAGGCTAACATCAGACCTCTTATCAGAAACAATGCAGGCAAGGAAAGAATGGGGAAATACAGTCAAAGAGTTAGATTTAAAAATTTTTAATCAAGAAAACTAAGAAAATAAATATCCTATTGTGTAAATCTGTTTTGATCTTCTTGACCTTTTTTTTTTGCTGTAATGTTGTCTATATGGAATATTTTTATTGCTCAGATAAAAATGAATAACCATATTGATTTTTATTTACAAGTAACATTGCAGAAATAATTTAATTTCAAAACAATTTTTAATTGCCAGAGTGCAAGTCCCCACTCCAGAGAGAGACACAGAGAAGAGAAGGGGAGAGAGAGGCAGTAAGCACTACATCGATGGGGTGCAGTTACACCAATCCCTTTTTCTCCATTTCTCCATCCTTTCAGGATTTTGGAGCATGCATGTACATATATATGGCGTGTTTTTTGAGCCATTGTGACTGGATTTCAAACTGTGGCTGGCTATAGATCTGACTCCCTTAACCAGTACAATATAGGGCTAGCTCTCTCCCTACATTTTAAAAATAGAGTTATAACAGTATGGTTTTATTTGTATTCTATTTATTCTTGAATAATTGTTTTGTTTTAATTCATACTCTAATAATTCATAAAGAATGTAGATTTAGCATTTTGAAAATAAAGTTATTGTTAATATAAGAAAGCAGATTACTATTGTAGAAGTGATTTTTTTAAGAGAGATTTATGCTCATTGGAGAGACAGAGAGACAGAAAGCAAGAAATCACCCCCAGGGGTTGGTGACCACATCACAATCCCTTCTCCTTCATTCTCCTATCAAGATCTTGGGCCTGCATGCATACATATCCAGTGTGAGTTTAAACCACTGGATCTGAAACTCCAAACACAGTCCACATATGGCAGTCCATTACATGCTGTAATGTTGTCTATATGGAATATTTTTATTGCTCAGATAAAAATGAATAACCATATTGATTTTTATTTACAAGTAACATTGCAGAAATAATTTAATTTCAAAACAATTTTTAATTGCCAGAGTGCAAGTCCCCACTCCAGAGAGAGACACAGAGAAGAGAAGGGGAGAGAGAGGCAGTAAGCACTACATCGATGGGGTGCAGTTACACCAATCCCTTTTTCTCCATTTCTCCATCCTTTCAGGATTTTGGAGCATGCATGTACATATATATGGCGTGTTTTTTGAGCCATTGTGACTGGATTTCAAACTGTGGCTGGCTATAGATCTGACTCCCTTAACCAGTACAATATAGGGCTAGCTCTCTCCCTACATTTTAAAAATAGAGTTATAACAGTATGGTTTTATTTGTATTCTATTTATTCTTGAATAATTGTTTTGTTTTAATTCATACTCTAATAATTCATAAAGAATGTAGATTTAGCATTTTGAAAATAAAGTTATTGTTAATATAAGAAAGCAGATTACTATTGTAGAAGTGATTTTTTTAAGAGAGATTTATGCTCATTGGAGAGACAGAGAGACAGAAAGCAAGAAATCACCCCCAGGGGTTGGTGACCACATCACAATCCCTTCTCCTTCATTCTCCTATCAAGATCTTGGGCCTGCATGCATACATATCCAGTGTGAGTTTAAACCACTGGATCTGAAACTCCAAACACAGTCCACATATGGCAGTCCATTACATGCTGTAATGTTGTCTATATGGAATATTTTTATTGCTCAGATAAAAATGAATAACCATATTGATTTTTATTTATTTATTTATTTATTTATTAACCATTAGACCACCTGCTGGTCCAGGAAAAGTGATTTTTGAGGGACCAGCATATGGCCTAATGGCAACCTTGCTGGACTCCCTTGTAGTCAACAGCAGCTCAAGTCCTGGACCTGGCGACTTAAACTCCAGGCACGTGTGCATGTGTGCCCAAGATCCCAAGAGGATAATAGAGGAGAAAGGATTGTGGGCATGGCCTTCTCCCCTAGGGGGGGTGATTTTTCACTTTCTGTCTCTCTGTCTCTCTCTGTGTTTCTGGCAATTGCAAGCACCCTATAGCAAACACCTCTCAAAAAATAAATAAATAAATAAATAAATAAATAATTTAAAAAATGATTTTTGAAGTGCATATATTATATTAATAATGTAATGTGGAGGTGTAAGATTTCTAATGTAATTTTATTTTATGTTATAAAGTCAAAATTAAGAATGTAAGTGTCTACTTTTAGAGAACATTTAATAGTCATGGCAGGCCTAGGAGTACACTGAAAGAAAGAGAAAATAATAGATTTTTTAAAAAAATTAAATATTTTTGGAAATATAGATACTCTTACTGATGAATGTACTTTCAAATTATTAAGTATGGCTCCAGTTGTAATGTGATTTTTAAAGAATCATATCCCTTTTATTCTTCTTTTCCAAATGTTGTCGCGTTTTATGTTTCATACTATGTAATTTTAGAATACATGGATCTTTAGAAGACCTTCATCTAGAATGATTACTAACAATAAACAATATTATTCATATTAAAAGCCTTTTCATCCATTGCCTAAGAATTTCTTTTTTTTTTTTTTTGAGAGGTTTTTGCTACAAGGCACGTGTGAGTGCCAGAAAGACAGAGACAGAGAGACAGAAAGCAAGAAATCACCTCCCAGGAGGGATGGTCAAGCTGCAATCCCTCCTCCTCCATTCTCCTCTTGGGATCTTGGGCACGCATGCACATGCACCCGGCGTGAGTTTTAGACATTGGGTTTGGGACTTGAACCACAGTTGACTACATAGGAGTCTAGCGATGTAGCCATTTTACTATCTGATGGTTCCATCCTAAGAATATCTTTATAAATGTCTAAGTTTCAATATTTATCATATATTTTCTGTCACAGGAATTTTCTTAGTAATATTCCATATCTACTAATAATAAATCCTCTACTTTCATTTGCATGAAATGAAGTTTTATATATCTTATATTTAGACTTAAAAATGTACTCACTTAGTATGATAACTATTTGCAAAATATATATGTACTTGATTCTTATATCTAGAATATACATTTTTATATCTCAATAAGAAGTCACAAAACCTTATTTTAAAAAGGAACAGAAGAAATCATACAAATGCCAAGTAATCATCTGAAAAACTGTTCAATGCAATTATTGTTTAGAGATGAAAAGTAAAACACAACAAACTGTTGCATATCCTTAAGAATGGTAAAAATGCAAAATGATTGTACTGACTGCTGGTGATGATACTAAGCATTTTAAACACTTGTCTACTGTGTGTATAAATGCAAAGACACTTCAGAAAACAATTTCAGAGTGACATAGTTATTTAAACACTTCCTTACCAAATTACAGATATTACAGTATTTATCAAGAAAAATAAATGCATATGTTCATTTAAATACATAGTTCATTGCTTCTATATCTGTATAGAAACCAAGAAATAACCTAAATAATTTTGAATTATCTATTCAATGAAGTATTTAAGCAAAGAAAAAGAATAAGCTATTAATACAATCTGAAAGAAAAAAATTTAAAAAATATGTTGTTTTTAATTAAAAATATTTAAAAATGAATTGTGTCCAATTCTATTTATACAAAATTATTTTTTGTCTATTAACTTGTAGCAAGGATTACTATCAAACTCCACTCATCAGGCCAGAGATCCTTGTGGTGGTAGCAAAAATCTTGCTCCACTCCTCATGTAGCACACTACCTACACTTGAGACCTCATCAGCCAGTCAGTGGCCTCAACTCCAAGCTCTAACGATGTGAACCGAATTATATAAAATTCTAGAAAGTCAAATCCAATCTACTGTAACAGAGGTAGACCTGCGGATGCCTGGGATCAGAAGGCGAGAGAGAGGAATGGATTACAGAGATGCATTAGACACCAAAAAACTTGTAGTGAGGCATATGTTTATAAATATGCCAAACTTATCAACCTGTATTTCCAAAATATGTGCATATTACTGCATAAAATCTATAGAAAAATATTTCAGTAATCCTTTTTTGGTAAAATACATCAAGAAAAAAGATTTTAAAAAGTGCAAAAAAAAAAAAGGAAAGAAAGACATTACAACAGTTAAAAGCATTATAAAATGTCTTAGTGCTCATTCGATGTATTTATCCAGACTGTGATATTGGCAAAAGCACCTACACGTTGATCCAAGAAGTGGAATAGAAATAAACCCACTCACAAGCAGTCAATTGATTTTCAACCAATATAAAGAGAGTTCAATAGAAATAGAAGTGTTTTTGCAAAAAAGTCATTTTAATTTTATATCGATTAAAAAACCAGATTCTTAATAAATATCTCAATACTAAATAAAAATTAGTAAGTCAAAGTCTATCGTAGATCTAAGTCAATAAAAACATAGAAGGAAATACTTTCAACTTAGGTTTAGTAAATACTATTTTTACATAAGACACAAAACTCACAAAGTATAAAACTCAAAATCAGGAAGTTAAATTTTACAAAAATTAAAATATACCTATATATTTTTGAGAGTATTACTAAAAAGAAAAGATCAGTCAAAATTGAAAATGTGTATCTGAAAAGTTATCTACATATATATGTATATGTATATATGTATATATATATAAATCTCTCTATCTTTCTATCTATCTATCTATCATCTATCTATCAACAATAAGACAGTTTAATTATCCCTTATCTGAGTTGTTTGGGACAAGAATGTGATGCTCCTGATTTTGGAATATTTGAATATATATAATGAGTTACCTTGAGGAGGGGACCCAAGCTTAAATATGAAATTAATTTATGTTTCATTCATATATTCCACATATAGACTGAAGGGACTTTTATACAATTCTCAGTTGAGACTGAAATCCATCACATAGATTAGATGGTACAATTTTCCACTTATGACATCATGTCAGCACTAAGAAAGTTCCATATTTTGAAGGATTTCAGATTTTCAAATTAGGGGTTCCTGCACTTTAATAATGATAATATAAACAAATCAGTAAATAATGAGAGAGTAATTGAATAGACGTGTCCCAAAATAAGATACATATGTGCCAAATAGATACATACATAGAGATACATCATTCTTTTTTATTAAGGAAACACTAATCAAACCCAAACTCAGCACCCCTAAGATGATGTATGAAATATTTCATTTTTTTTTAATGGCAGTTTCAATTGATAGCATAGTAGGCAGCTGACTACATATTTCATACATTGCCAAAGGGAATGCAAAATGGTATGTTCACTTGCCAAAGTAGTTTGACAGGGAACCAGCAGTTAGCGTAATGGCTATGTCGCTGGACTCCCACATAGTCGACCGCGGTTCACGTCCTGGACCCGGTGGCTTACAACTCACGCCGGGCACGTGTGTGTGCGTGCCCAAGATCCCGAGAGGAGAATGGAGGAGAAGGGATTGCGGCGTGACCATCCCCCCTGGGGGGTGATTTCTCGCTTTCTGTCTCTCTGTCTCTCTCTGTCTGTCTGGCGAGCGCACGCGCCCTATAGCAAAAATACCAAAGTAGTTTGACAGTTTCTAACATACTCTTATCATATGACCCATCATTTTTCTACCTAGAGAATTATTCAAAAAGAAGAAAACCTATGTTCATAACCAGCATATGTATGCTTACAGTAAATAAGTATCCTCACCAAAAGCTAAAATAATTATTAATGCTAACATTCAACAGGTGGATAAACATATTGCAACTGTGAAATATTCCACAACAATGAAAACAAGAGTCTCAAACACACATAATACAGTGGGTATTCAAACATTAACATATGTATATATGAGTCAATGTACATGACCTTTTTAACTTTTTAAAAATCCTGCAGTAGGGCAAGTGGGCTCACTGGGCATAGAGGGGGGAAGAGAGAGAGCGAGAGAGAGAGAGAGGGAAATTTCCCCCAGAGGGGGTGGCCATAGTGCAGACACTTCTCCACTCTGGAATTTGGGGCATCTTCACACAGTGCATGCATGTTATTCAAACTGCAGGGTCTGGAAGTCACCCATGTATCCGCCAGGGGGGATTTGCATCTTAATTTCCAAGTCAACTGCTAGTCTTATTTGGCTTTCTCCTGAAAACTACAATTTGGAAGCTGCTTGTCATGTGTTAATTTGCTATAAATATTTGCAAACTAAACAACACACTTTCTTTTTAAAAAATTATTTTATTTAGCTTTCTTTCTCTTTTTTCTTTCTTTCTTCTTTCTCTTTTTCTTTTAGTTCTTTCTTTCCTTCTTTTTTATTTCTTTTTTTCTTTATTTCATTTAACCAGAGAGGGACAAAACGAGAGAGAGGAAAGTGAGAAAGAAAGTCACTAGCTCTGGGCCTTGAAGTGCAGTGGGTCATGAGGGAGTACAACACCCCTAACCACCATGCCACCTACTGGCCTCTGTAAAGTAAACAACA